ACATGACTGAAACCTGGATTTCTGGAGTTTGCGGAAACCTAGGGGTCTGGGCGTCTATCTACTTAAGGGGGATTAAAACCCTAAACCCTAAACACTGTATTCTATCTACTTCAAGGGGACTTTCACCGTAAACCCGAAACCCTATATTCTATCTACTTTAAAACTAAGTTAAGTTGAAGCTCACAGGAATCCATCCTGGAGCTTGTCGGTGCTATCTCCAGCTCCTCCTCCAGCGCCTGGACCTGTTGTTTTCTGGTTTAGGGTTTAGGGTTTAGGGTTGGGAGTTTAGGGTTGAGTGTTTAGGGTTTTGGGGCACTTTACTGGGTTAATGAAAATAAAATAGAAGCTAATATAGGTGGAATGGAAAAGAAAATGGAATCTACAATTTAGGGTTAGGGTTTCTGGGTTGCTGTTAAGGAGCTTCAGCTACCACAGTTCGGTAAGCTGTATTTTCAGGTTTCCCATTCGCCTTACCTCTGGCCCTATTTTCCATTTTCCATTCCTTCATTACCTGCTAACCAGAGGTAAATTATATCGCCGCTGTTTGTTGTCCATAGTCCTTTCCTGTTATTCTCTGCATTTGGGGTATCATACCCCTAAAACCCTAACTAAATCCTACATAATCCCCGATATAATGATATGGCCTTATATGACCCCATAAAACCTGTATTAATGTAGCCTCTTTAAATCCTACATAATACCCGATATAACCCTACATGACCTCTATATGACCCCATAATACCCTTTCTAGTCCCTGACTGCTGACCAGAGCCCATTTACTCTGAGCATGCTGCAGAGCCAAGGCACAGGCTTCTGCCTGAGCTACAGTGACTTCAAGGACGTTTAGGGTTTTAGGGTTTTAGGATTTAGGGTTTTAGGATTTAGGGTTTCGGGTTTTAGGGTTTTAGGGTTTGAGGTTTTAGGGTTTTAGGGTTCTGGCTTCCCCCCTTGAGGGTTTAGGGTTTAGAGTATAAGTATCCCCCCCAATATGGTACCTTTGCATATTAAGGGGAGTATTTATTACTAGGGCGGGTTATGATTCGGGGAAGGTGATTATAGTGGCGACCTCAAAGTGATTTTACAGGGCTTTATAGGACCTGCCTACAGCGTTTAGCGCTGTATCCTATGATTAAGCCCTAAACCCTAGGCCTACACCTTAAACCCTACACCCGATGGCTGATGAGCTTAGGGACATCATGGCTGAGTTCTTTTCTCTCAGCATAAGACACTGCAAGGTACTTGTTTACGGTGTGGGGCGTAGTGTCAACTGGATGAGTGCTTGGAAACACCCGGGAACTCCAGACCCCCTGAACCCAGAGCGCCCGGAAGGAGAAGCTCGGGTCAGAGGACAAGGGCAAAGAGGAGGCCGGCCCGCTTTTCTTAGGATAATGCGCTTGGGATTTTCGAGCTGCAGGCCCAAGGTTTAGGTTACTTCGTGATTTTAGGGAATCTGGAGAAGAGAGTGTCTAGGCTTTCTAACGAAACGGTTCCATATCTAGCAGTCATCCAAGATGTTCATGTTGAAGTCCAGAGGCTTCGGGTTCTACCTCTCGGAACCCAGGAGTGTCGTTTCCTTTGTCTATGAACGCTCCTTGTGGGAGTTAGGCTTTTTTTTCATGGCAGTCTTGTCCCGTTCACCTTGTGTTTCATGGAAAAGAATTGGTAATTGCAAATTTAGCTTGTACCAGTCATAGTCTGAGTGTGTAGTAGTAAGGATAACACAAAATAAGACTGGTAATGCCTGTGCAATGCCCTTGCAATGCCCATAGATACTTGGGCTCTCCGAGGTTCCCCATTTTCGAGAAGCCGGGTTGAGGATTTATGGTGAACACTGAACAGCTACAGCTTTCCAACAGGGATACTGCACTTCCCGCGAAGGAGTAGAGATACTTCTCAAGGAAGGATATAAGCACTTCGGCGAACCGCCAATAAGCATTGCGAAGCCTTTTTCCTAAACCCCAAATCCCTCCACCCCAGACGCCGAACCCTTAACCCTATCCCTGTGTCCTAATCGCTTGCCCCTAAAATCTTCATCCATCAAGCCCTACTTGAAGATTCATGGGACTTAGTAACTACTTATAACTGGGCTTACAACCCTACTTATCACCCCCCTGAATGGCCTTATAGGGGTTACCCCAGTTATAAGTAGGGTTATATACACCCCGTCATAAATACTTACGAAGTCCCTTGAACCTCCAATATAACGCTAATAAGCCCTATACTGGTTGCCATTTTCTTTTCCATTATCCCAATATTGCCCCAACATAACCCCTATGTCCTAAGCCCAAAGCCTAAACCCTAAA